GAACATGCTACAATGCTGAATTTGTCTCTCTCTGAGTCCCTCAATGCAGTAGCCCCTATGAGAACCAAAGCCGTTTCTTTTACACTTCTGCACCTTGGTACATTATTGAACTTCGTACCATGAAGCAGGCTTGTCGTCAACTTGAAAGGCTGTACAAAAAATCTAAACTTTACAGTGCATGCTGATGCTTATAAGGAACTTTTCTGTGCTTACAGAGATGCACTATGCACTGCTAAATCTAGCTATCTTTCTAGTCTTTTTAACAGGCCAAACTCAAACTCCCACCATCTATTTTCAACCATCTCTAAGCTTTTCAAACCCCCAGTAGGCATTGTGGCACCTTCCTCTGAACTCTGTAACTTATTCTTACATTTCTTTGAAAGTAAAAAAAATATCTAAAATCAACAACTCTCTTATGGTCTCCTCCCCTAAAACCTTCTTTTCCTCTCCTTCAAACACCCAGCCTCTAGACTCACCCTGCTTCCCTGCTTTCAACCCTGTTACTGAGTCTCTTGTTAGTGAAATCATTCCAAATTCTAAAAGTACAATCTGTTCCCTTGACCCCCTCCCCACATCACTAGTCAAAGCATATATGTCTGCTCTGGTCCCCCATCTCACTTCTATCACTAACCAGTCATTGTCTTCTGGCCATGTTCCCTCGGTTACGCTAGTCCTTAAAAAACCTGGCCTTGACATCTAACTTTAATAACTTTCGTCCCATCTCAAATCTCCCATTCTTATTGAAAGCCCTCGAGTAAGTTGTCGCAATACAGCTCAAAGATTACTTGGAAACTAATAATCTTTTAGATCCTTTCCAGTCTCGTTTTTGGCCACATCATAGCACTGAAACAGCTTTGGTCGAGGTTGTTAATGATCTGCTGTTGACAGCTGATGCCGGTGCTATTAGCATTCTCGTGCTGCTTGATTTAAGCGCTGCATTTGACACCGTTAACCATTCCATCCTCCTCTCTTGACTGAGTGAGCTGGGTATTGTAGGCTCTGCTCTTGACTGGTTCACTTCCTATCTAACAGATCGTAAACAGTTTGTTACTCTCTCTGGGCATCATTCCTCCACTTCCACTGTCAGCCAAGGGGTCCTGCAAGGTTCTGTACTTGGCCCATTATTATTTATTATTTACATGCTCCCTCTTGGCAAGATTATTCGACATTTTAACCTTGACTTTCATCGGATGACATTCAGATTTATCTTCGGACAAATTCGCCCATTAACCCCCTCTTGGCAATTTGGAATTGTGCATTACTCTCTAATGCTAAACAGTAATAAGACTGGACTCATTCTCATTAGTTCTAAATCTGCACTCAATAAAACTGGCCCCCTCACTCTCTCAACTGATGATGTTGTTTTGTCTCCCTCCTCTGTGGTCCCTAATCTGGGTGTCATCCTCGACGCCTCACTTAAACTCGACTCTCATGTCAGCTCCCTTGTTAAAACCTCTTTCTTTCACTTACGCAATATAGCAAAAATCCTACCATCTCTGTCCCAGTCAGCTGCTGAAACTCTCATTCATGCTTTAATTTCTAGCTGTCTAGGTTATTGCAATTCTCTTCTTGCAGGCATCGGCTCCTCATCACTTCGTAAACTCCAGACAGTTCAAAACTCTTTTGCACCTCTCCTCACTTACACCCTGTCACATCACCACATTACACCTTTTCTCCAAAACCTCCATTGGCTGTTTCAGTTTCAGTTTAAGATCCCTCTTCTCACTTACAAAGCTCTCAACAATCTTGCTCCTTCCTCTCTCTCTGATCTTCTCCAACCCTACAAGCCTAAGCGCACTCTCCGTTCTTCTACCGCTGGTCTGCTTACCATTCCCTCCTCTAAAATCCACAGCTTTGGTGATCGTGCATTTTCCAGAGTAGCCCCGCGCCTATGGAACTCTCTCCCTTCTCATATTCAGCAGTCTAATTCTCTGTCCTCATTTGAATCCAACCTTAAAATACATCTGTTCTATCTTGCATACAACCTTCCCCTGTCTTAAACTACTCATGCTCAACTGCTCATGTCAGTTCATCATCTGTGCTGTGAACATGTATCTCTGTCTCTGCTGTGTCATCTGTTTGTATATTGTTATGTATTTGTTTCTTGTGCCACTAATCTGTTTGTGTTACTAAACTGTAATCTGTACGCGTCTTTTGGCCCTAGAAAAGTGCTATACAAATGTGCTATACAAATTATCACTACTTAGCTTTTCCAATTACATCTATGCATGTCCCTTGGCGGGCGACAGAGGCAGCACGTGTAAAACCACATAGGCTGGAGGATCTATTATGTATATGTATGGGGCACAGAAATTATCATTTAAGATATGGGAGCATCATTACCAACTTGATGTATGGCATAAAATAGAAAAGATCACAACAGTTAAATTTTATCAAGCGCCTCCTCTATGGAATAATCATCATTTTCAGTCAGGTGGTAAACTGGTTACATTCCACCTTGGATCTCAAAAGGAGTGTTTGTTATTGTGGATATCTTTAGCAGCACAAGACTATACTCATTTCAAGATTTAAAGGAGAAATACAACTTACCATGCACCTCATATTTTCTTCATTTGGGGTGAATAAGATCAGCAATGAAAGCATATGGGGAACCACTGTCTCAACACCCCTTAGAGGAGTGGATTAGTCCTAGGAAGTGCTTCAAAGGACTAGTAACTCATATATGTAATTTGTTGATGGATTGTTCTATTGGGAGTGGAAAAAATACGGAACAGAGAACTTTATAGTCTATGCCTGGAACCTAATGGGAAAACTATATGGACAAACATGAACACCACCTCCAAAAACCTTGCACATCAGCTTATTCATTATAAGATGATTCACAGATTATACATCACTCCCTATAAATGTTTTGAGATGACACTACTACTGCTATATTGCCTCCCTCGAGTGCACTATGACTTGACTTAATGCGAAAGAGGCCACTGTGCTGGCTTGGGCAGAGATTGAGAAAATAAAATTCTCTCTCTAGTGTACTTTCTATGGTTATGCTTTGGTCTTTAAGCCTTTCTGACTTACGCTGACTAAGCACTTTATTAAGAACATTTGTACACATATTCATTAATGCAATTATCTAATCAGCCAATTGTGTGGCAGTAGTGCAGTCCATAAAATCATGCAGTTATGGGTCAGCAGCTTTCGGTAATGTTCACATCATCCATCAGAATGTGGAAAAAATGTGATTTTCATTTTAAAATCCAGTGTTGAAAAACGGCAAATGGGTCGATTCTCATTTCTGGTTCTGTTATTGTCAGTGGAACAGTCAAGAAATAGCTTCATTTTACAACTTCACAAAATAATCAGAAAATCAAATAACAAACAAACAACAGTGGAACAAAGGGTCATATTCTAATGATCTAAGTTTAGAATTTCCCATCATAAGTGGAAATAAATGTGCAAAGCACAGGTATAGAAGCTCAGACATCACAGAAATTAGGCCTGTCGATCGTGTATTGGTAGGCTATAGATAGACAGATAGATAGATAGATAGATAGACAGACAGACAGACAGACAGACAGACAGATACTTTATTGATCTTGAAGGACATTTAGCAGCCAGTAGCAGTCACACAACACAGGACAGTTATAATAATAAGGGTGATACAATATAAAAAGAAGAATATATACAAAAAAAACCTATCTACAGGCATATATAAAACTAAAACTATAAAAAGAAATATGCAATAGATCTATTCTGAGATAAAAAAAACCTGCAGTGCGCAGGTAATGACAACACTGAATAAATAGGTGCATATATTGGTACTGTAATAAAGTGACTAGGTGTGAAGTAATGTCCAGATGTGCAAAATGTGCGATAAGGTGCACACTAGTGCAATATGTACAGTAAGGTGTCCATATGTGCAGACAGATAAAATAAACCTGTAATTTAGTATGAGAGATTCAGTCCTAATCTATTCTCTTCCCTCTTCCCTCTTCTCTTCTGGCCCCACTGCGAAGAGCTGAAGAGCCTAATGGCTCTAGGGACAAAAGATCTCCTGAGTCTGTATTACTATTTGTATATCTGTTTTTATATTTGACCTGTACAAATTATATGAGAAAGGAATGATATAGGGAAGAAACTGAACTCCCACCATTTGACAGGGGCTTTGTGCTCCCCAGTTCAAGATGTATTCTGTCAGTAATCTGCCGAATTTCCCTATGCGTGCACGTGCATCATACAGGCATAACGACACTAGATTACATTCTGTCTTTCAGTCGTAATGACCAGTACTGTAGCCTCTTGGTGAAGAAGGAGACTCAGTCGAGTCTGTCATTTTGCTATGAGAAGTGCTTTTTATTGACACCAGCAGAAAAGACACACACAAGGCAGCCCCTAATGAAGGTCACCTCCATTTCATGGTAGACACTCAACCCATCTAACTAAACACACGTATTTTTGCTAATATAAGTCAATAAACACATAAAATGTCATATGGCCTTTCATAATGCCAGATCTAAGCTGACCTTCCCATCACTCATGCTTGATCTTTCCTGTCCCAAGTCTAACTTAGCCAACAAATACTAACATTAAATGATTTGTAGCCTTTTACAGCCATACAGCCACACTACTACAATCAAGCAAATACTGAAGTTGTTTGCACAACTGACCAAATTTTGTAGCCACTTACACAGCAGTCACTCCCAGTTGAGCATAACTTCTTACAGATTCAAAGTCTGACTTCTGCCAAAAAACAGAAGAAAAAAAAACACAGAGGCCTGTTTCTGTGGAGTTGTTTATGATGCCATTGCTGTGCCACTGTTAATCACCATGTGGTCTGAAACACTTACAGGCAGAGAAAAGGTTTTCCATTGTTCTATTTTATAGTTTTTTTGAGTTTTTGAATTATGGTCTATGATTTTTTTTCTCAAATCTGATGATCAAATCACATTATGGTTATTTATTATTAAGTAAATAAAAATTATTATTAAGTGAAGTTTAATCAAGATGTGGGTGTATTGAGCTGGAGCGGTTATGCATACTGAGCTGATGTTCTTCTGGTTCCTCTGCACTCTTTCCATTTCAGGAGTGTAGTTCACCGAAGTCCCACTGCCAACCTTCTTTTTGTACTCAACCTGCAGTAACACACATGTCCAAACACCATGAAATATATATGTGAAAATGGATTAACACACACAGTCACATAAATTAAAAGGCCCATTGTTGATCTTTATGTAGTAGTCCCTTGACATGAACCAGGAACTCTTTATATAACTCTCAGACTGCTTGTCTAAACCTCACTGTCCTCTGCTACCCAGAAGAGGATGGGATCTCTTAAACCTTGGTTTTCCTTATCACTGTTACTCTTCACATGTACATTAGGCCTAAGGCTTGGCCTGTGGTTAAGGCCTAAGGCCATAAAATGTATAAAAATATAACATTTGATGTTTGAGTGGAAGCATACTCACATTGCTAATCTTCTTGGTATTCTCTTTAGCCAAGACAATCTCTGGAGTCTCAGTGACTGATGACATCAGTCCCTTCATCAACTTTGCATTCCAAGTGTACCTTACCTACATGTATGGACATATCAATATTTGTGCACATAAACACAAACCATGTTAAATGTACTGATATAAACCAAATGTCAGATTTTTCATCCAAAAGACTTAAATTTCCACAATAGTGTGTTGTGGCAGTGCAAATCTGAAAATGAATTGAACTGAAGTGTGACTGACTGAACTGATGTTGCGCTGGTTGGTCTTGACTCTCTCAATGTCAGGTGTGTCTGGCACCACAGCATACGAACACTTCAGCTTCTCTGCATAATCCTTATACTTCTTCTGTACACACACATGTACACACAACAAAAAAGAAACACACCGCCAAAGTATGATATTTTCACATTGTGGAAGAATGGATGGATGGCTGGATAGGTGGGTGGTTGGATGTATGATGGGTGGATGGTAGAGACAGACTGTAATGACAGACCTGGCTGTAGATATCTTTCAAGTATGCTGCATGAAGGAGCTCTGGAGTATCAGTCACCGTACCAAATAAATTGTGCCTTAGCTGTGATAACTGTTTGTAAGGCAACTGAAAGAGTTCACACACACATATACAAACATCTGCAATATCCAATATACTACACAATATCATTGTTTCCCTCTAAATTTTTTGTTGACCACAAGCCAACCAATGAGACAACTTCACCAATGTTTGGGGACATTTTCTTAATGACGTACAAAGAACACTTGTTGGCTTGCCCGATTTAAAGCAAAACTTTGGACCAATTACACTAGAAGCCAGGAGTACTTCAGAGGCCACTGTGTTCATTGCTTCATTTATCAACAATCAAAACAGCTCCTGCCATCATATTTGCACAAGTTTGGCACTGATGCTGAAAAGGTTTTTTTCAGTCTAAAAGAGTGGATGTCTTCTACTGAGTCCCTGATATGTTCTTCACTAATACCCAAAGTTATACAGAGGCCTCCAACATGACAGACAGTAGTTGGCGGTATACACTGAATTAAATGAGCTTTTGGGTAAATGTTACATGTAATTGGTAATGGAGGGACACCTCTCCAAGGAAGCAATGAAACTCCGCTTGCACATACACAAATAGAGGGTTAACATATAAATAATGAACAAAAACAGGAACAACTTATCCCAAAAACACTGTGAATGATGTCAACCAGTCACTACCACTTCAATACGTGACTGTGTAATCACATATTTTTTCTCTACCGTTTATCTTATGCCAATTTAAAAAATACCTAACCTTTTATCACAGTTTATAATATCACAATAAAAAAAAGTTAACATGAATCAGAAAACCTCAAGTCTCACAAGAGAACAAGGCTTTGATTTCTCAAGTTCTCAAATGAATTATGTTGTTATTCTGAGAATAAGTGTAGTTTTCTCAATATCTCCAAAAAAAAATGCCATTATCGTAGGAAAGCAACATTTATTAATGATAATAACGTGGTAATGACATAATTGCTCAGGATCTCATTAAAACTACTACTACTATTACTACTACTACAACTACTACTACTAATAATAATAATAACAACTAATCATGGAAAAAGGAGTAAATAAAATATGTGAATTCATTTTGGGCTTCTGTACATGACAGAAACAGCCCAAATATTCTTTTTGGTAGAGATGGCATAGAGTTATTGTAGGTAATATCAGGAACCAATACTGGAAAAATGAAACACCTCGATTGTATTGTTTCACCTAGTAGTCATAAAATCCAATACTAAACAAACAAAAATTAATTAAGAAGCCTGAGTCTGTTTATGTTCTGCTTTACCTGGCTGGTCAATTCTGATGCCTTCTTAGCCCTCTGCATCTCCATTGTATCACTGCTGATATCCATGCCCTTCCCTATGATCTCCTTTTTCAAATCCTTACGATACTCTTTCTATCAGAACATGAAATGAAGATATGAAGAAACCAATTAGCATCTTTATTTAGAGTTGTCAAACAATTACAATAATAATAATTAAATGCAATCAATCACACTACACAAAATAATGCAAGGGCCACAATCGCGGATTCTAATATATAAACAGTGTGCGAGTAGCTGAGCTTTAGTCTGCACTATTTCAGATGGTTTTAAAGGTAAAAATGTACTAAAGGGAATGTGTTAACACAATTTAAAAAAGAGTGGCATTAATAATGCATTGCATTAACTCTGACAGCTATATGTTTATTAAATGTAGGTGAGGTATACAGCCTTGTGAAAGCCATTTTCTAGATTTTAAATAAACAAATTCAAACAAGTATCTTTTTTTTTATAATTTTCTTTATCACAACATTTTCAGAGCCAAAGTGAGTTTTTTTTTTCTGCACATATTTTAAAGAAAATGAAAAACTGATACTATTGCTTAAATATAACAACTTGATAAATTTTTGGTAGATTGACCTTTTGCTGCAATAAGTGTTTTGGGGACAAATATGTTCCAGCTTTGCATGCTGTTCAGGTGTGAAACCCCCATTTGTCTTTGCTGGTTTGCAGGAGGTTGTTCAGCGAACAGAAATTTTCAATTTGCTTTGAACTGTGGCCAAAAGGTGCTATATTGGTATATATGCTGTCTCTGACCATAATTCATTTTCTATGTTAGCCGAGAAACTCTCAAAGTTCTTTCAAATAATAAAAAAAAGGCAATGTAATTTGCTTGTGTATTCAATATGTCTCAAACGTGTCTATGCTCTCAAGACATGCTACTCCACCCACTAGCATCTAAAGTATTTGGTTTGCTATATAACACTAGTATAAATTCACATTAAAAAGGATGTTTTTTCAATGGGTCTCAGTAAAGAAAAAGGTTATATTACAAATCTTTTTCTGTGAAGTTCCTAGGTGGAAGCTGAATGCTTGCTTTCTGGGTCAGTAGCATTACCAGGCTAAGAGTCTACATCTGTGAAAACAGGAACAAGCAGTCTTAAGTTAATGATAGCTAATACTTCTGCCATAAACATGCACAGGACTTCATGGGTCAGCATAGAATCCAAAACTCTGTGTGCAACACCAATCATCCATTCCCATACTCCTCCCATGTGTGAAGAGTGTGGTGGATTAAAGATCCAAGTTCAGCCTTGACTGCTGACATATCTCTGCACTGTCTATTTGTTTGTCACTTTGTGAAACTCATTGCAGGCTCCAATGAAAGTAGTTTCGCAATCAGAATGAAACAGCTTAGTTGGACTATGAATCGCAAAGAATCTCCTTATTGTCTTAATGCAACTAAAGGTGTCTATTGACTTGATGACCTTGATATGAATTGCATAAAAGTAAAAAGCACTGCCAAGCACAGTGTGCAGTAACAATCCAAGGGCCGAATACCTCCAGGCCAATATTTTGGAAATGGTGGCAACATAGTCAGTCGCTCTTCAGGCAGATCCTCTAAGATTCAGGCCTTGATGCTCCACTTTTTCATGATGGTAGCATATAAGTTGTATAGAAACATGGTGCTTTCGAGGAATGAGGAGGGGATTTTTCCTCACCAGTCTACAGTTATGATTGTTTCAACTTGCCCCCTACTCAGCCAATTTTCATCCAAGACAGGACTGAGCTTTGCAAGTAAACTGTTCTTTGGTATGGGGACCCCTTGTGAAAGTGGGTTGAACTCTTCAGGAAAGGCTGCTCTCTGTACGCTCTGGAAAATTACATTGGTGGCCCAAACTGTTTTTGCTTATCAACAGCAGGTTGGCATAAACAATGCTGTTATTTTTCTTCTACAGAAGGCGCAGTCCCTTTTGGACCAGAACAACACCATAGTGAGAATCGCTTTCTTTGACTTCTCAGATGCATTCAATACCATCCAACCTCTCATGCTGGGGGAGAAAATGGATAAAATGCAGGTGGACAAGTCCATGATTGGACTACCTGTCTGGTAGACCCCAGTATGTATGGTTACTTGACAAATTCACTGCTATCCTGGACAATACATCACACCTCCTCCATGAACTACAGCAGAGCACCTTCAGCAACAGACTCATTTAGTTCCACTGCAGTAAGGAACGGTACAGGAGATCATTACCAACAGTGATCACACTGTACAACACCTCATCACTGTGTCAGGACATTACTGTATACTGAGCCACTAACAGGGCAGGCTCACTGGGCACAAGCGGGATATTACATTACATTATATCTCTCTACTCATATTACTATGCACTAACACTTTATACACATATACATATTGCACATATTAGAACAGTGATGCCACCCAGGGTGGGTTTTTAGAAGGAGGCTGGTCCTATGAACCATGTGGTCTTGACTAGATGAGATGCCTGAACAGACCTTGAGACGTGATCAGCAGAACTGTGCCCTGTGCAGTGGTGGACAGTAATGAAGTAAATGTAATTCGTCACTGTACTTAAGTACTTTTTTGTGTATCTGTACTTTACTGAAGCATTTCCATTTTGGGCAACTTTTTACTTTTACTCCACTGCAATTCAAAGTCATATATCTTATGTTTTACTCCATCACATTATGCGAAATCTGTCATTCCTTTTGGCTTATGTGTGCAGTCAAAACGAAAGAAGCGTGAAGCAAGCATACCAATCAGGGTACAACATGCACTTTCTTTTGAGCTTGTTTTGACCTGTTGGACACACCTACCCAGTGCAAGCATGAGGTTCTTCGGTGGCGTTTTAGGGCCACTGTTCATAAAAATAAAAATAGTAGATTTCGAGAATAAAGTCATAATATTTCGAGAATAAGGTTGTACTATTTCAAGAACAAAGTTGTAATATTTGGAGGATAAAGTGGGCTAACTGTAGGGGGGCTGCCATAACGTGTTGGGGTCTTGGTTGCTGTACTGGCGCCGGAGTCCCACACACTCCTGTCTCTTTGTGGATCGATCATTTTGATTATCATTCTGACTGTCTGTGAAACTTCATGCCCTCTTTGAATGGCGCGGAGATGTAGCCACCGATAGCCGTGTAGACGGCCCTGCCTGCGATTCTCCTTCAACAAAACAGACAGACAGTTTCCTCCAAGTCCATCTGGTTGTTTATTCTAAATAAACACAGTTTCCTGCTCAGCCGTTTCTTATACAAATAACAGGCTGGTGCTGATGTGCATGAGAGACAGGGAGACGGAGTATTTCTTTATGGGTGAAATCGATATGAAAGTATAACCCCACCAACTCCTCAATACCCCTCATTGTAACACGAGGAGGTGCTGCCTTGCCTTTGCAAAGCCTTTGGCCACAATATTGCGACCTTTCAATGCCACTTTAATGTTATAATTCTACGACTTTTTTTCTCAAAATATTACGACTTTATTCACGAAGTCTACTATTTTTATTTTTATTAACAGTGCCCTACAACGCTGTCATATGGTTCAACGTCAGTGCAGCAATGTAAAATTTTGGGAGTGCCTATTCCTACATAAATGATGGAACTAACCTAACTTTGTGTAAATAGACCATAATATAGAAATATGTACACATATGCAGTTGTGACTGGCATGTGTCTTTTTTCTGAATTTATACAAACACTATTTCATGTTATAGTAAATTTGTTTTTGCTAGTTTATGTTTATGAACATAGACCTACAGATGCAATATAGTAAAGGAAAACACATTTGTGAACCTGTGTTTAAAGCTTAGTTACAAGTTAAACTTGTAACTAAGTTGCAAATAAATCATAAAATGGAAATTTGCTTGTTTGCAAAAAAGTTATTTCATAGCCACTTGGTTCTACCTAACAGAAATTGTTTGCCTTCAGTGTTTTGTGCTCATGATAATTTTAATAGACATCAGTGTCAGACTAATTAATGACATTCTATTAAAAGACTGGTTTACCAAGAGTGACACTAGAGTATTTTCTCCTAAAATGAGTTAATGAAGCAAAAGTCTTGTTACAAAAATGGTAATAGGACATTAAAGTCATAATTAATCTTTTGGTACTTTTACTTTCGATACTTAAGTACATTAGAAGGCAAATACCTTTGTACTTTTACTCAAATGGAGGTCTATAGGGAGGACTTCTACTTTTACTGGAATAATTTTTTACTTTGGGTATCTTTAACTCATGTACATGATTTGTGTACTTCGTCCACCACTGGCCCTTTGGGCACATAATGCCACTGCTCTGGTTGTGTGGACTGTCTGATTCTTTGCACTCTGTTATGGACATATACATGGAAGTGTCTTAGCTCATCAGTCTCTTGCACTATGAGCTCTGCTATCTATACTGCCAGCACTGCTGCATATAGCTCTAACCTGGGAATCGCAGGCCCAGCCTGAGGTGCGAGTCTCGCCAACACTGACTTGCCTGGCTTTGTCTGTTGTCTTAAGATACCTACCGCCTTCGTGGATGCATCTGAGCAGACATGGATTTCTCTCCTTTTTGCTTCACAGAGAGAGCTTGCTGTGTATGTGTGGGGAATACAAAGCAGCTGTAAGTCTTACAGGGAGTCTCTCCATGTGTCTGACTCACCAGGAGAGTTCCCTTAGTAATCTTCCCTGTATAGTCACAGGAGCTGCAATGCCAAGGGAATTGAAGAGACTGTTGACAGTGGATAGGACTCTATATTGTGTAAAGGGTTTTTCACTGACTGACACTTGGAAAGTGAACGTATCGGCTGCTACTTCCCATATTTAACCAAGGCTATGCTGTGCATGAGCAACTTCTCCATCAAGGTCTAAGTCTTTGGTGCTTTTGGCATAGTCAACAGAAGAAAAAACCTTCAGTACTTCTGTGCTGTTTGAAATGAACTTGTGAAACTTTAGGTTTGAGATGGCGAGGAATGCTTGTGTCGTCCTGAGCACATCAACGGTTTCCTTTTTTGTTTGTAATGAGTCCATCATCCACATAGAACTGGGGCTCCATGAACTGCCTAGCGTCGGGGCCATACTGCTGTTCACCTTTTTTTGCAGCTCTCCTCAGGCTGCCACTGTTAGAAAA